TTTACTAGAAGATATGCCACTAATTTCAGTGATTAAAACCACTGAAGTCAATCATTTAATTCTTATTCTATATAGTCACACCAATAATATTCTAGATCTCTATCACCAATGCCACTATCACATTCATCATTAAAAAATATATGGCATATATATCTAATAATTATTGCCAATCTTTCATAATTTTCTCTCACTAATTACCTTTATAAAATTTGTGTTATGTTCAAATACCATCAAAAGAATGTTCTAGAGATAACTACTTTTAGAGCTTCTTGACCCTTCAATCTCTTGCATTCAAATCTTTATTGGTTGATGACTTTGAATACTAGAGCTAAGTACCTTTTGACAATTACTAATGATTTTTTTTAATTATATTTAGATTTTCTTCTTCACCACTAAAGACAAGATTTGTTTTACTAACCAAAAGTTCATCCAATCTATAGAATATCAATTAGGTCTAAAAATTGGTTGTTTGCAAACTTATTAAGATACCAAGTTTATTTCTATTATATTTAATTTATTTTGTTCTAATAAAGGTATACATTGCCAACTCACTTAAGCTTGCTTTCTCCACTAAAATAGAGTTATTAAGATAAAAAATTGGTTATTATTTGAGGTTGCATGCAATATTTTTCTAGATGCTTGATTTTTTCTTTACTCACAACTATGTACTTAATTGTTGTTCTATTTTTTTTTCTTAAATCAACCACACCTTTTGAGCTACTATTTAAAATCAAATCTAATCTATTTCTTCTCACACTACTTAGATGCATGCCATATGTTCTTCTCTCTCCATCCCTTCAAACTAAGTTGGGATTTTAAAAAAATTGCACCATTTTAGTTGGTTATGATAACCAAACCAAATACTATTGGTGTTATGATGTAGTTTGTAGCAGGATTTTCATTAGTTGAGACATTAATGTGTCAATTATAAAGATTATTCTAGATCTAACGAGTACGTCCGTAGTACCACTAGAATCATGTCGGAGCTTCCGAATGACACAAGACCCACTGCTACGGCTCCTACATAGACCGAGTCACTGCTCAGTCCTCGCCTACCACCTGCTCAATCTCCTGATCTGCTCGTCTACTCTGCTCTTGAGCCGACAGAAGGTAAAAACTAAACCAAAATTTCACAGCGGGGCCCTCCGCTCTCTTCTTCTTGCTGGATCTGCTACCTCTCCGCCTCCTCACGAAAAAGTCCACCGCCGAATGAGCTCCCTCGCGCAATGTGGATGTCGATACCTCTGTTGTTTCATCAATGACGCTCACAGACCGCGTCCTCGCTCTCGTGTAACGTCGATACCTCTCGAAGACCTCGTCTATAGATATCCTGAATTATCGAGATCCCTCATGGACCTCGTTGTCGTGATAAGCTGGTTGTGTAAAGAGACTGTAGCGGAATAGGTACCCAGCTGCTGCCTGGTACTGGATGAACACAAAATCCTAATGGCTCCTCTCGGACCAGAAGATTGTAATAAATCCGAACTTTCAACCCTGTCTAATATGACTTTGTGTTTATTGGTTTTTCAGCTTCGAGCAACCACGAGAGAATGTTCGTCACTGTATTAATTCTACGCATTACTCCATGCCATCCGTGCTGATCCCTCGATATCTACTGTACTGATGTGCAACCAATTCCTGTCCCCCTCTTCATGCTCCTGGACTTCTACTTAGTCTCACAACCTGCAATTCCCCTAGCAACAACCCTCCACCTCTTACACGACCATCACCGCTTCTACTCAGCTCCACTTCGTCAGTAACCATCCTCGGCTAAGAACTCCAATATCATGGCAGATTCCTCGCCACTCTCCAAGTCATCTTCTGGTACCACAAGCCGCATTCTGCCGCATCTTTCTCTAGCACACCCTCCGCATCTCCATACCCTCTCTCGTCTGCGACAGTCATTTCTTACCACTCACAGTTGCTGCTGCTGGAGTACCAGAGCCAAGCCATTCTTCTCTCATGCAACCTCAATAGCTTGGTTGATCCTGTCTGCGGGTCCCAGCTTGATATGCAGCCGCCTTTCTGCAAACGTATCAATAATTACATGAAATCCTACGTTGATCGCTTCCTTAATATATGCCAGTTCTAAATTTTGCTTGGACGCTCCTTAGATGAATCGATACCACTTGTCATCGACATTTTCAATGTATCTAATATCGGTACTCTTGTCAACAGCATTGTATGGTTCCCTTGACCAATTATTCTGGTATCACTAATGCTGTGATGGTTGATTGCTACCAGCTAGTGGTAATTGGTTGGTGGATTTCTCCCATGATGTTGTCGTCTTTCACATCTGCAGTCGAGGGCAATTCTTCGTAGAATCAACTTTGGGTATTGTAGAAACAATTTGCTCAATCGTGATGTCCTTCTCCATACCAATAGACATTTGGTTCTATCTTCATGTGTACCATGCGTCTTGTGCCTTCTGTTTGTGTGAATGATGTGTCCATTTTGCCTCGTATGCTAACATTCCTCTCTTCGCGTAATTTTGTGGACTTCAAAAGTTCTACTAGTGGTATTCTTGGCATTCCTGTTGTTGTTAGCTGCAGATGTGGTAGTAAACCACCTTGGAATTTACTTAGTACCAAATGGTCTGAAGCTGATTCTTTAAAATTCTTTGCTAATTTTTACAGTCAAGCATAGAATTTCTCAACATTTTCATCCATATTTTGCTTTGGATCTCTAAGTGCTTTGGAAGTCTGTTGATCATTTTGTGTCTCTATAAATCACTTCTAGAAATATTTTAAAATTTCCTCAATTACTTCTTGAAAGTTTGATCGAGAAAATTTTATCAGATTAGTTTGATGATTGTATGCAATATATTGTGCTATTATGTTTAGAATGTTAAAGTCGTTCCAAACTTGCCAAATCAATTTCTATTTGGTAATCACTCATATATTAATCTCCTTCTATTATACTCTTCTTCTTCTACACGTTTTATTTTATCTTGTTCTAAGTTACCTTTTGTATCATTATTAGGATTATTTTCTTCAATATATAGCATCTATTGAAATAAAAATATGCTAATTTTTATTATATTTTCTTATCATTTATTTTTATATCTTGAGACTTAAATTTCTTCATATTTTAGAAATATTATGCAACATAATTTAATTCATTGCAATGCATATGTACTTCTCTAGCTTAATACTTTTATTTCTTCTTATATATTCAAAGTTAAAACTAAATTTCTCCAATTTAAAATTTAAAATTTTGACCTTGCATAAGATTACTTGTATTACTAGAAATCACTGATATAGCAATTTGACTTATGTGTAATACAAATTTGTACCAAATCTATTGATATGCATGTAGATTTAATAATGATATTTGTACATTATCAAAATATTGAACAAGAATTCAAAAATCTAACTAATTCGAATATAATGAGATGATTACATAATGTTCTAAAATTGTTTAATGTAAATTGGAAATTAGTTAAATACTAAGAATGCACATGTGCAATGCATGTTGCATATGTAAAAAAAATTAAAATTTCTAACAATCAATAATAACTTTAGAACATATAATTTAAATGGATTATCTCAAAAAAATAAATAAAGAATTTATTATTTTTTAAATTTTATCTGTAGTATTTTTAAAATATAAAAGTGCAAAATTCAATGGTTATATATCTATTTGGAAAAAAATATAAATCTTAGTTATATTTTTTTAATAATAAAATATTTTCGAAATTAATATATATATATATATATATATATATATATACATATAGATAGATTATAATTATTTAAATATACACAACTTCTTTTTATTGAGAAAAAATATTAATTTAATAAAAATAAATAAAACTATTTTCTGCTTTTAAACTTTAAAATAAAGTTTTACTTGGTTTTTATAAAGTTTTAAAAAATATTTAAAAAATTGAATTTTTCAATAATTTAAATAAATACAAATTGTTGAGATATAACCAAAAAAAAATAAACATTTTACAATTAGACTTGAAGAAAGTTAGGATATAATTGCAATATACTTATTAATGTATAAATAAAGAGGCATTTATTTATTTATTTAATTTATAAATGTTTTTCAAATAAATTGTGCACAAAACAAACAAAAAAACAAAAACAATAACAAATAACATGTATTCTTCAAATCAATAGTAATATATAAATAGTAATTAATAAAATTTTATTTTAAAAAATCTCTACACAATTATTTGGAACATGACTTTTTAAAAAAGATTTGGTTTAAATATAATAAAACCATTTTTTTTATTACATTTAAACCAACTCTTTTTTATCAACATGATTTTTATAAATATTTTTATTGTTAGATTTGTCAAAAAGTACTGTGTACATATATATATATATATATATATATATATATATATATTTTCAAGATATACTGTAAAAGTAAAATGATGACAATTCTTTTTAAAGTTGAATAATTATGATGTTGTCTATTTATCAATTTATTAGCAAATTTTCAAGGTAAATCATGGAACAAATGCTAATTTCAAGTCGTTTCTCAGCAAAAGACCTTTTACTAGAATCTGAACCTCCACTACCAAGATCCAAGTATCTTAGAATATCATTTTACTATTCTGCAAATGAGAACCATGGTATTTTGAAGTAATCAATACTTAAATGTAAAAACGGAACCCTGATTGGTAACCTGTGTGGGGATTTTCCATAAATGCCTGTTAAGTCAAATCTCTGCAAATTAGTCAAATTAGTCATATAAATTGTATTGAGTTTCAGTCAGACCTAGAATACTGCTCATTTTATTGCATAGGTTGGGTCTGCCAATACGTTTTTCTAAATACGTTCATCTCGTTCCTCAACCTGCTGGTTTTTATTCGAAGAATGAAGATCCATTCCCAGACCAACGGCTCATGTTTTGCAGTTCTTCAGGATTGTTACATGACGTGAAGACATCACAACCGTTTCAGTCTCTTCGATTTGTAGTATGTGTTGCAGTATTGCACTTACTGCATCACTTACAGAACCCATGCAAGTGGCGATTTCAAAATGTGAAAACTTTAGTGATCCGAAAAACTTACCCGGTGCAAGCATACACGATCATAGATAACCTTGCATGTGAGACAGTTCACTGAAACTAGGGGCCAAATCAAGGTATGATTACCAGTACAAAAGGCATCATTTTGGTCCAAATCCAGCTATCACTACTGATAGAAAAGAAAATTTTAGGAATCACGCATATATATCAAGGAACCCAAAAAGATAAGCTACTGCTTCACACAGTTCCGCATGCTCGAGTATGTGCCGATAGGAGTGATAAACTTGAAAGTCACATAGGTTTGAAGATCCCTGAGAGCAAAAGAGTGTTAGATCCTGGCTCAATCCATGGAGAACCATTTCTTCTTCTTTTTCTTCTCCGTGAATTGGGCGCATTCTGGTGAGACATGGAAGTGATTGTTGCTATATCAGGCATGAAGTTAAGGAATATTTAATTCAACATCCTTCATCCATGTTTAAGCAAATCAGCTTGGGAAATCTTAAAAGGCAGGAAGAGAGCGTACCTTCAAGAGGATAAATGGAATTATAGTGATATTCAGACCAAAAGCTAAGGTAAAGAACTGCAAATGAAGTCCACATCATACAAAAACAAACGATAATGAGCAGCTTTACTGAAAAAAACACATTTCTACTAGAAATCAATGCAACGGTCTCAACGTGCACTCTTTGGCAGAAGAAAACATCCACCTCAGGTTCAACAAATGTCAGAAAGTGAGATTTCATTCTATTTACATTTCGCTACGATAATTACAAAAACCACTACAAATACTGAGTACAAGGGATGCAAAGGAGTAATAACCTCGGTTTGACCTCTGTTGAGCAGGTTTAATCTCAATGAAATAGCGATCTTCGAAGGAGGTTACCAGGTTAATTCTCACTCCATACTGCACCCAAATTTCAAAATCAATCATCAACAAAGCGTTCTCAACAACAGATCGGCACTCCATTAACTGACTAGCCATCTAACTAACCAACTGTTAAAAGCGCAGCCCTCAATGTCACCTACTGACTTAAAAATCGGTAAAAGAAAAAGAAAAAACCAAGAAAAATATATATATAAATAAAGCATTAATTAAACGCGACAGCTTCACCTTGTCAGCAGCAGCTTGCAATGTAACGTGATCGCCCCACGCGCCGTCACTACAATATAGTTTGCCTTATCAGTCTAGAACAAAATCCTTGAATTGAAATGATCATAACAAGACTGACCATACGAACTTTCCCTTAAGTGTCGATTCCAAACAGCAACGCTCATGCTAAAGCTGAAAGGTTGTGAAAGCTACCTGGCCATAACTTTCAGATAATCATCGAATTCCATTGGGACGTGGCTAGTGTAAGAGTCACGTGCCTGCGATAGCTATAACAGCAACCCCGGAAGACATCAAAATGACCACTCAAACCAAAGTACCAATAGAATCTGTACATATCTTGAAAGGGGAGAAGTAGGAGGACCTTGCTTCAGCTCTTTCTTCCACGTCTGTCTCACACTAATAAAATTTCGTTATATGTGAATCGTAGCTTAGGAAAGCAAAGTACAGAGTTGCAAAAAGAGTTACCTGCTCAACCACATCGGCCCTCACTGAACTAAAATTATCTGGTGACCCATACAACTGATCTGCCAATGCCCGAAACTGTAATACAAACCAACTGACCCAGACATCAGAATATGTAAGCAGCCACTCACTTTTTAAAGAAAAGCAACAATTCAAATTATAAACTATTCTTAGTTGTGCTACATTAATGCATATTTTGTAGAAATAAATTAAATTTGTATGTTATTTAAAATTAACTTAAGATAGATTCTGAAGTAATTTCATGGAGAGGTAGCTGTCGGAAAAGAGACAGGATTCACCTGGCAATTACCATCGCCTGCCATTTGACGCTCAGCCAATCCATGATATTTTAATCTAAAAAAAATCACAATAAATTCAAAACTGAATTGGAGTAATCTCGAGCATACCGCCACAAAAGACGTCGTTACAAAGCAAAAAATTATGAGCCTCAGTATGTGCAGCGAGAGGCTAAAGAAACCAGACGCTGGAATAACACTACCACAATCCTAAAAACACCAAACTACTATTCACGAATAACCACCTGTCTAACAAACGGTTCTTAGCACTGTAAGCGTCTGTGGAGGGAATGTCCGCAATAACTCTTGGCACAAACTGCACAAATGAAGCTTAAGGTGAAGAACAACTGTAAAACAACTTCATGAGTTAGCTGCTACATAAACGAATGTTATAAAATAAACGTGTAACATGAGTTCTGGCACTGCATGCTATCCTTCAAGCACACTGACAGCTACTTCTGTTCATCTGCTATCTACAGTTTATATAAGCATCTCAAACCAGATCCTCAACATATACATTCAAGAGTTAAAGAATCCGTTGCGAAGGTACTTTTACTCAACACCTTTGAGAATTCAACATGCTTACACTTTCTGGATTGAGATCACTAAGGCGCTTTGCCAGAAGGTCCTCTTCAACAGCCACTCCAAGGATGTCTTCAGCCAAAGCGATTGCAAGTTGATGGTCGTGGTCATTCACTTCAAACTCCCGCTGAGGAGACCTGGAGCTTGAAGGCGTTGAGCCCCATTCTTGTCCTTCCATGCCTTCCTCATCTTCTCGAAAAGTATAATTTCCTTCTCCCACAACCTCGCACTGTCCTCCCTCCCAGACCTTGGTCTCAACCCGGACGACACTGGATGACACTGAACTCTTTTGCGTCCAAATATGTGCAGCTAGGTTGTCGAAGTGATTGACATAAGCAGGGGCCTATCATCCACAACACAAAAATCAGTCGCCTTAAACTTTAACAAAGCTCTCTGTCCAACACTCAGTCTCATTCACTGCCCAACATCTCCTCTCTCCCCTTTCTGAAAACCTAACTTATGAAAGCCATGGAGATTGTAAACTTTCAGAGCTGTGTCAACACGGATAGACAAACAGACAGACAGAGAGGAGGTAGCTTACTCGAAAATACTCCATGGTTGAGCGTCTTGACTATATAACTAGCGACTTCTATTCACCTCTCACCATTTTCTGAAAAGCATTGCAACGTCATCAACGAGGTGCCCATGAGGTAGCAAAATTTTACCAGCAAACTGCACTAAGGCTCACTATCTGATTCAAGTCCAAAAGATAAATTCTTCTATCCTTAGATAATGTAAAATTCATTAAAGCAACATCTTAATTACTTCTACGCCTGACAGAACCTCTTAGACGTGAGACTGCACCACAGGATGCCACTATATTGACATCCAAACAACCACATCTTCTCACAAACGGTGACAGCGGCCCAATCAACCTGCTCTGCTTTCGAACAGCACATCTATAACAACTCTACAAAGCTATAAGTCTCCGGTCCGTCGTCAGATGTCATCTCGAACTCCTCACCAATTCCTTTGCGAATTGGTCTCCAAGCCTAGGTTTCTGTCGGTACACGCAACCTCCCAATTACAAATCCGTGACGCTGCATTCAACCATGAACCGCTCACCGAGAACGAGCTTCCTTGCAGTTGAGGATTCCTTCCAACCAAGGTAACGTGCACACGGAGCAACACCACTCAGAGCTTCCCCTCTCAACCAAATCGATCTCACCTTCGACTAGTGAAAAAAACAAAAACCTGTAGACCAACTGAGATCCTTCACCCCTAGACTGTGAAATGGCCACGATATAAAGTGACAAAAAGTTGGGAGTTTTACAGAAACAATGTTCCGCTCCCATCCATGTAAGCTTCAGAATATGGAACATGGGTTGTCGAGAAAACTAAACAGGTAGGATTTAGACTCACCCAGATTGCGAAAACGACATCAATACCGACACCAACCTGCACATCTGAGTCGCATTCTACAGACAAAGGGGTGTGCAGATCCTTCCTCCTACAGAACAGCAAGAGGTTCATTCAGGCTTGCTTGCTGCCGATCATAGACCCTTGCCACGGTCATAGGCCCTACACAGAACTGCTGGGAAGGGAGGGGGGGAGGGCCCTGTTCACACGGCCTCGCTGGTTCATCACGCCACGACCAATTCCTTTCGCTTTTCACCAACGTCACGATGTCCAAGTACTCTAAGAGTGACAAGGAAATGAGAAAGAGTGACAAGGAAATGAGAAAGAGTGATGTTTCTGTCTTTTTATTTTTATTAGTTATACATGCATGTATGAGTGAAAGCATTCAATAAGCAATTCAATAGTAGATGTAAAACACCAAGAATTTTATCATTTATTTTTGTGAATTTATTAATTGAAAATGTGTAAGAATGGAAAAAATTACTTTTTAGATAATTATGATACAATAATATATATTTATTCCGAGTTATATCTAAGAACTTTATTACCTTTGTATGAATTTAAGATATGTTATGTTAATGTAAGGCTATATAGAATTAGTTACACAAAAACAGTGAGGATGAAGGATTTGTACTTGCATTCTATAATGATTCTCCTTAAATTAAATTTTTATTTATTAAAAGAAATTATCTTTAGGATTTTATTTTTAAAAATATTCATAAAATAGAGATGATTAATTTTTTTAAAAAAATAATTATTTCTTACAATCTCTTATTGTGAAAAATATCTATATATATATATATATATATATATATATAACTTAAGTAAATAAGAATAAATAGAAGTAAGAAATAGTAAGTAGAACGTATTATATAGATCATATCTTATTTTAAAAACTTTAAGGAAGTTTTTTATATAAAAATTAGATCTTTATGTTCCTAAAAATATATCATGTAGCTATTGAAACTTATACTATAACATTTTTTTTAAAAAAAATCATGCACAAAAGGCCCTACAACTTGCATTTAAGCTACAAGTCTTTTAGTCTTTAAGAAGCTTTTACAAGGACTTCTTAGTAGCTAATATTTATAAAGAGAAGAGTGAGACCATCTTTGGTCTTGTTAATGTCTTTCTTATTGTCTAAACTTAGTTCAAGACTCTCTAGCTTCTTTATATTTGATAATAGTCATTTTAATTATTTTTTATCTTTTTTTATTTTTAATGTTAACTAAGTGTGTTATCTTTTATTTAGATTCATATCCTTGATTTTTTAACAAGATTAACACTCATAATAACTAAGTTTGACCTTTCTTAATGAACAACAAATTATTTCTTTCTCTAAAAAGCCTTAAAGTGTTTTTGATGTTGCAATTTTTTTTTAAAAAATTAATGTCATTTTTTTTTAAACCCACTTCTTTTTTCTTATGTAGATTTTTTTGAATCCTTAAATATGTGAAAAATATAAAAGAAATAAAGAATGGCATAGTATAAATGTAAGAACAAATAAAAAAATTGATGCTTATTATATATCAACTTTGTCTACAATATCAATTATTATTATAAATGGTTATATATGAAGTCATAAAGATGACAAGAGTTCCTTCAACAATTGCTCAACTTAAATAAATCATGCTAGTATATTAGCTACAAAACCAAAAGTTTCTCTTTAGAAGAAATTTGATGATACTAGATCTAAATTTTGAAGATTCTTCAACCAAATATAGATTTTCATTTAGCTCCAACATCTTAATTATTTAATTTAAACATTTTAAATTAGATTTATTAGAATGTTATTCATAGGATTTTATTTTTTTTAATTTTCATCAGTTTTAGAACAATAAGATTCTATATTGAATAACTTTGATGCATTTTTGGAAAAATTTTAATTTATGTAATGAGAACATAATGCAACTATTATGGCAACTAATAAAATTTAGATTTTATAGTGAAAAAATGATTCTTCATCAATACATGTATCACAATTTTAACAATTAAAAATTGATATAAAATGAAATAATACTACACTTATTAGTTAATTTAATTAAAGATTATAATATGATGCAAAAAAATAATTTCTCAACTTACTTAATTCTCAAACTTTGAATTAAATTATTAATTTTTTTTTCAAATAAAATTATTAAATTATTGAAGTTTGATAAAAAAGACTCTATATTATCATCTCAATACTTTTAAACTTTTATTACAAATACTTCTACTAATTAAGATATATAATTAATTATTAAAAAATATAAAAAAATAATGCTATACATTTTTAAAAAATTATTATATTAAATAAAACCTAATGGTCACAAGAATGATATGCCTATATTATAAAAAATCAAAATATATTATTCAATATTACCATGGGAAGTAACAAAATAACATGATAAGGATTATAATTCTATAATAAAGAAGAAAATGTTTAAAAAAAGAATATACAATACTATAGTTTATACAATTATATTCTTATGCCATATATCTTATGAAGATCTAATATTGTCTTTTGAATAATTTTCTTGATTTTTAATACAAGTGTATGTAGGATTTAAAAACAATGGTATTTCAAGATAATTCTTATTAGATTTTGGTTCCTTTATTTTTTTCTTTATAATATTTTTGCTAGCTATCAAGCAATATTGTAAATACAAAAAGTTAAATTAAATTTACTTATATACATAATTATTTTGGATAAAAAATCCTTATTATTAAAATATATTATCTACAAAATCATATTGGTAGAAGTAATTATGAAAGATTATAAAAGTTTATTAATATTTAATATTATAAAATATCTAACTAATCTTGTTATTTTAGAATTATTGTGGATACAATAACATAATCTTTAAATGGATTGGATGTCTTATTATTTTGAATTATTTCTTATCTTTTTTAAAATAAGACCAAAAAAAGTATATCTAATATTTAAAAAAACTCAAACTTCTATTTTTAGATATTAAGACATATATTTAAGCCACACAAAAAAGATATTTATTATTTATTTGTGCATCTCTAAGTACTCATTCAAATAGAAGTTGCAATAAAATCTTAGAGATATATAAAGAATATTAAGAAGAATTTAAAGAGAATAATGTTAATATATTATCAATCCACTCAGCTTATAATTATGTAATTGACTTTTATGGAAGAATTCAACCACACTTTAAATCAATTTACAACTTATTGCTAAATGACATTACTACTATAAAAGTATAATTTGACAAAAATCTTACAAAGAAATTTATCTAATATTCAATAAGTGTGCTAATTTTTTTGTGAAAGAAAAAGATAAATCTTTGCAATTGTTTACAGATTATTATAGACCTAAGTAATTAACCATTAAGATATTTTATCTATTTTATTGAATATTGAAATTAAGATTGAATAAATCTAAAATTTATATTTAAATAGGTTTACAAAAAAATTAAAATTTGATTTATATTATAGAATAATTAAATAAAAGACTATATTTAAAACTAGGTATAATTATTTCAAACATAATGATATATCTTTTGGACTTACAAATGTTCCTATTGGTTTATAGTATTTTTAAAATAACACATTTTTAAAATTTTAAGATAATTTTGTAATAAATGATTTAAATAAGATTCTTTTGTATTTTAAAAATAAAAAAGAACAAAACTAATATATATTTTTTTCTTATCCTACAAAACTTAAAGATACAAGACTATATGCAAAGACAAAGGAATGTATATTTTACACAAATTAAGTTAAGTTTTAGACATATATTATCACAAATGATGGTTTGCAAACAAGTTTTAAGAAAGAATAGATTGCCATTGACTAAAAAAAAATTGAAAGCACTATATAAGGTCTAATTTTTTTTAGAATTTTCTTACTATTATCAAATAATTATAAAATAGTTTTTTTTAATATGTGTCTTGTATAATATCATTATAATTTCTCTTGGTAGGCTTTGCCGACCAGCTTTTAAAAGTCTATGTAAGAAGTTCTAAATAGAAGAAAGAAAGAAGGAAAGAGACAAAGAGAGGTAGACAAAGAGTAGTAGAAGTTTTTAGGATATTGCCTAGACTTAATATGGACATTGTTGTGTTACACATTAGATGTATTCTCTAGTAAAATCAAATTCCTAAGTATATTCTCTAATGGACATAGCATCAATTCTAAATTGAAGCATTTAAATAGTGTATATTTTCTTTTGATTTCATGTGTTCTTTTTGTGTGCAATGATAATTTATTTTAACAATTGGTACCAAAGCATATCCACAACAAAGTAATGAAGGTGGTTGTTTAGAGCAAAGATACAATAAAGAGTGTAGCAGCAAAAACTAGGCAATGGACCACCATTTGGCTTGTGAAATTGAGGTATTTTATTGTAGAGGTGTATGGTGGTGAAGGTCAGCAAGAAGAAGGTATTCACTTTGAAATTGCAGATTCCAAATCCTTGTCAAGGGCTTAGATTGAGAAACGTTGATGGCAGAAAAACTCTTAAATGAAAAATTTAAGGTGGAGAAATTTGTTAGGAAAAAAAATTATGGATTGTGGCAGCTGAAGGTGTAAGATTTGTTTGGGCAACCAGGATTGCATAAGACATTGAAAATTAAACTTAGACATAAGACTGACAAAGAATAAGAGAATATTAGTTTGCTGATTGCAATTACAATTTGCTTGAATCTTGTAAATAAGTTGTTGTACAATGACATGAACAATGTTACATTTTTATACAAGTATTAGGTGAAAGAAAAAAAAATATGGATTATATTATAGAAGAACTTCATTAAAGAATATAATAGCAAATTATTTTAGAAAAATATATATATCAAAGATAAAAAAAAATTAGTAAAATTAATTTAAAATATATATATTTATTTTTTAATACCACAAATAAGACAAAATAAAGTGAATGAGTAAAACTGATATTATAAGCATCTTTAAGTAAAAGTAAAGAGTGTCTTTTAATAAAAATCATATTTACAAAAAATAAGAGATTTTTACTTAGATAAGACTAGTTATGAACTAAGGTCAAAATCAGACCTTGAGGCACAAAATTGCCCACCTATGGCAATTGCAAGGTTATTTTTT